CTCCCTGTCTGCGCTGACGGAGATGGTCTTCCGTCGGCCCCCGCACGACCGCAACCTGACTTTCTCGTCCATCTCCGCCGAAACGAAGGTCAAGCCCCAGGAGATCGAGCATCTGATCATGAAGGCCTTGTCGCTGGGTCTGCTCAAGGGTGCCATTGATCAGGTGGCTCAGGTCGCCCAGATCAACTGGGTGCAGCCGAAGGTTCTGGATATGAAGCAGATTGAGGGCATGCGGAACCGTCTGAAGGATTGGGATGCTGGTGTTAACCAGCTGGGTCACTGGATCGAGGGCGTTGGAAAGGATGTGTGGGCTGCATAGAGCCCCCATTTTTCTACTTCTTTTATATCGTCTTCTGTTCCTTATGATTAGTCCTGTCTGATGGGTAAAAGACTTACCATGCATGTATGTACGAACAAGTACTAGAACCTCATTATAATTGAGATCTACGAAGCCCTCTCTAGCTCTTTTTACACTCAACATCCACAATAACACCTGATATGATGTAATTTTCAACCTATACATACATAAATGCATGCCTATTATAATACAGAAACAGAAAGAGAAACAACGAACTATTGATCTATCCATCCTTGCCTCCACCTACGTAAGACTTCTTCTACCTATCAGTCACGTTATGATGCCCCTGATCCGACCTCTTAAACCATTAACTCAACTTATTCTCATTCAATCAGGACGAGAACAGAGAGAATCCCACCAATGCACACCCGGCCACCCAAGCAGGCCACCAAACACACCAAACAACGACCTGCGTCCATACGCCCCAGACATCCCACCCGAAAGCGGCTTGCGTCAAGACCGTCTCGACATCAGCGCCGAAGTACCAGCACGCCGCGAGCAGAACGACAGGCGGGGAGAGCACATTCAATAGCGCTAGGGCCAGCGTACTGAGGATGTATCTGAGGGGACGGGAGGTGGATTGCGGGTTGATGCGGTGAATGAAGCTTAGCGGGGCGCAGAGAAGACCGACCATGAAGGAGAGGGAGAAGTTGAGGGTTGCGAGGGTGGAGAGGAAGAGGCCGAGAATGAGGAGGGAGAAGGATTTGATGAGGTGGTATTGTTGTGGCTGAGGGGTTAGGGTGTAGGAGAGGGTGGCGGAGAGGAGGAGGGGGAGGATGAAGTTGGCGAGGATGCTGGTGTAGGTTGCTGTTGGGTAGTACTGCGTTGGTTGTTAGGAAGGAGTTTGGGTTATATTAGGGGAGGGAATACGGACCTGGTGGGGGATGTTGTTGAAGATGTAGAGGGGAATTAGACCGAGGAGGTGGAGACCGACGACGAGGGTAAGTGGGAGGGCCAGTTGACGTTCTATGATGTTGTTACTGGCATCTGCTTTTGCGGGTGGTGCTTGCTTGTCGTCGTGCTTCTCTGTAGTTGTGGTTGTGACTGGTTCTTTAGTCGGCTTCGAGGCTTGCTGCGAGCCAGGGTAGTAGCCTGTCCGGAGCCAGAGAGCGATTGCCATAATGGTGAAGTTACCGGCAATCAACATCGCGCTAGGAAGATATGTGCCGATGCTGACGAAACGGTTGGTCTGCATGAGAAGATAGAAGAAGAAACTCTGGTGCAGATGCTCGAGGAGGTTGTTCAAGCTGCGGCAGAGACTCTCAACCGTGCGACCCAGCGCCATCTCATCCTGCCAGCCTTCGCCCTTCGTCTGGAGAGTGATAGCATCGATATGATACGGCATGAAACTGCTGTGAGGACCCGTGGCATAGCCAAAGCCCTGCTTGACCATTCCTCTCATAATGGTCTGCAACCGCATCTCGTAACTATCATCGTGATCCCACATCTCCTGCAGATTGGTCCCGATGCCCATCTGCCCACCGGTAATGGATATAGCCGTGTTAAACAGATCTAAGTTGGGCAACTGGCCATTGACCCCGTCGTAGAGAATATGCAGAGACTCGAAGCGATGGTCAAACGGGTATTCAATCACAAGACCTCCTTGCAAAGCACCGCTCTTCAATGGAAGGGGCTGCACAAACGCCGGCTGCATATCATGGTATGCGTCAATCCACGCCTGAGTGCCTGCCTTACTGTCCGGCGGAAACAAGAAAATGATATCCTTCGACCACAGCGACCACCCTGTTCTCCATCCAATTAGCAAACCATACCACATCCCATAACGACCGAGGAAGTCACCCACGCTTAAAGTATCTCGCCAGCGTCAGTGCAAGCGTAACACCATTCAGATTCAGCTCATCCTCCACGGTCTTCCAAGCCGCCACAAGCACAATAGCTTCGGTGGCATCTCCTCGCGGCGCCTGAATAATCGCGTAGACATTCTGTCCCTGATGCGTGATCCCCGACGACGTGTATTCGTAGTTCTGCGTGGCAACTTTCAATCCGGTAGCTTTCAAAACCGATTGAATCTTATCTGACACACTAAGCAGCATAATATGTCCAGTCAGCAACGCGATCCCAGTTATTCAAATCGTAAGTGGTGCGGAGCTCCAGCAACATACGCAGGAGTAAAGGCATCATTCCACGCTTCCTGTCCCTCGGCAGTCTGCCCTTCAAGTACCCCCTCTAGCTCCTTCTTGTATCCGCGGAAGATGTGCTGCTCGCTACCGGAGAAATAGGCGTGGACTTGACCCGGCAGGAGCGCGTTCTCGGAGATGTAGGTCTGTCGGGAGTAATCGTTGAGGGGGAGTAGGAGGAGCCAAACAACGCCGGCGACGATGCAGATGAAGGAGAGAATGTGCGGTAAGTGCACGAAGAGGAAGTGAGGGTTACTCCGCACTTTGCGGATCGCAGCTGTTATGAATACATGTCAGCGTGGTCTGGTCTCGTTTGAGGTGTCCTTCGCGACAATCCGGGGTAAGGTGGAGGGTGAGTCGCATGGAGCTGTAGGGAGGGCAAGGCAAAAAGGGGGCAACGAGTTTCGTAGATAGAACGTTAGAGTATAAAACAATTTGAATCTTACATTTCAAGGCCATGAGATCTGAAGCATTAGGGAACCAAATCCCATGGTGATGGTGGTGCTTGATCGGAGCAAGATGTCTACCGCCGCTACGGAGCACTAATCGATCTGCCCGCAAATTTACGTCAACCGCTATAGACCACCTGCACAACTTCCCCTAGATTCAGTATTATTTGCTTTCCCCGCAATATTGCGAGTCACTATTGAATGCCGTATAATGCTAATTAAATATGCACAAGAATGTATCCACTTAGGTATAGCGTTAGTCCTTAGTCATCACGGACCAAGGCGTTGCGATGAGCCGAGGAAGCTCATCGGGGTTCCCCTTTCTCCGCCGGTGGTAGTCGTGGGAAGGACTCCATAACGGCCGTACGTCTTCTGATCCACTGACACGTAGTGTGGCAGTCTTCCGAGGAGATTGAGCTTGCCCTCAATCCATCTCAAAACCTTCTCCGGGGGAACGAAAATCTTGAGGACCCCAAGGCCGACTGTCGAGCGGATTAGCTGCGAACCGAGGTCTACTGGAGAACTACTACTTACGCAAGTATCCAACCAGGATAGCGCATAAATGGCCAAGGAAGCTGGTGTTTGGCACAAGAATCGAGACAAGAGCGCATGCGAACAGGGGCGACGTCCACGTGGGAATCTTGGTCGACCCGAGACTGAAGCCGCATTAGTCGGGAACTGAGACAGAGACTAGTGCTCGAACATACCTAAAGTAGGGGTTTGATTTGAATGTCCGAATGGCCTCGGAGCCAAGGAGAAGGAAGACCCAAATACTGGACACTCATTAGGTACCATCTCACAACTCGGAGATGCTACAGAGCACTCACCTTGAACCCACGACCGCGGTATTCCTATGCAAAACAAACTTCTCAATCAGGATGTAAATGCCTGCAGGTAGCGTAGAGAGAGCTAAACGAGAAGCAAACATCCATTAGCACATTCGTCCAACCATCCTAGATCACGCCAAGGAGCAAACTTACGCCCAATGAACAGCGCAACAGCGGTCAATGTGCCATGCTCGGCCTCAAAGCGCTCCAACAAGGGCGTGAGCGCCAGTATATTCAAGAAGGCATGGAAGAATCCCAAGTGGATGAAAGGGTAGGTGTTAAGACGGTACACTGTCCTAAGAGTCAGAACCTGGCTGTATTTGCAAGCAAGGCCACGTGTGCCCGAAGAGACATACTAGTGCCGAATCCAACCTCCTCTGGTATCACGGAGCCCCATTGTACCACACTCCAGATTGTCTGAAGCTCCAGCAGCCAGAATAAAATAATCGCTAGAAGCACGAGCCGGGTGAAAAGCGGTAGGCGGAGGACGTAAGATCGTACCCTGGACGGGTTGAAGGGTAGCGGCGGAAGGGCAGCGGGAGTGGCCATGGTCGAGTGCGAATGGCCGTAGCAAGGCGATATGTCAAGGCAAGTTTATTACAACGATAGATGAAGGTCGATAGTATCGCAGGCGGAATATGACAATGGAGGCGCCGTGGAAGTCGAGGTGCGATGTACAACACGGGACTGGCGGAGTCTAGGGAGCGATGGAATAGTCACGAGGGCTTGAGAGTGTCTCGTGTGGTCGAGGGAAAGGAGCGGAACCGAGTAGGACAATTCGAGAGATGGTATTTCTGTTGGTTTTGATGAAGGACTTATGAACTTTGAACCATTGGCAATGACTCGTTTTGAAGCCACTGGATGCAATGCACGCAAACTCCGGTATACGCGACGGGAATTGAGCCAAGATGAAACAAGCCAACGGATGGAACTCAAACAGCGCAGAAAAATAGCGGGAAACAATAAGTTAGAATATAAGGCCAGACAGCCCCAGGGAAGAGAGCAGAGGCACTACTTTAGTGCTTTCCGGGGGTGGCTGGATCTGGTTGCTCTTAAATTGAAAGCTGATCTGGTCTCGCCTTTTCTCTTCCCAGCGCGGATCCTCCGGGGTCACGTGAAAGATAACGCTTATCGTTCCTTTATGATTTACAGAGTAACCAACTTCGTCGCCTACTTCTCTCTACAATGATTTCTTTCGCTTTGATAATTACCGAAATTATCATGCCTCATGCCGGTTCATTATCTAACTAATGGTAACATGTACAGAAGATGCCGCTAATTCTACCTCAAACATTTACAGGTACTGCTTGAACCAGTTGACGGCCTGGCAGAAAGCTTGCTCCTTGGACCACTTGAAGTGGGGAACGCTCAAGTCAGCGCGGACAGCGAAGCCGTGGGAGACACCGCTGTACAGGTTGATCTGCCAGGGCTTGCCAGTCTTGATGAGGGTCTCCTCAGACTCGTGACGGAGCTGGGTGGTGAAGATGTTGTCGATTTCTGTTCAAACCAAGTCAGCATGCGCGGCCTCGCACGCGTTGCGATAAAGGATTCCACTTACGAGCAGCAGCAATGGACAGAGGGCCCTGGATGGCACCAAGCTCCTCGTGGGTGACGAAAGAGGGGTGGGCGTTGAAACCAACGTCGACCTGGCCGTCCTTCATGAAGCGGCAGACGTACTGGAAACACGCCTCGTTAGCAAACAATCACATAATACCTTTCGGCGAGTCGATTTCAACTTACCTTGGCACCGAAGCAGTAACCGACAGCGCCGATGCGCTTAACGCCCAAGTCTCCCTTGATGTACTTGATGGTCGACTCGACGATGGGGTCGACGTTGGCGGGCTGGTGGTTGGGGAACCAGGCACCAATGTCAAACTTGCCGGACTCCATGGCGACGGGGTCGATGGCGTCGCCGCTGAAAAGGTCGGGGAGGACACACAGGTATCCATTGTTGGCGAACTCATCGGCGAGGAGCTTGGCGTTGTTGAAGAGACCGAAGATGTCGCTCAGGAAGAGGACAGCCTTCTCGGGGGTCTTGTTGTCCTTGGGGTAGACAATGTAGGTGTCGACTGTTTGGGAAAGACGGTGTTAGAAGAGGGTCATGGTTCTAGAAAGATCTAACCGGATAACATACTGTTGTTGATCTTCTTGACTTCACCGACAGGGGTGCCTTCGTGCTTGAAGCCCTGGGCACAGCAAGCTCCGGGAGGGTTAGAGGCCATGGTGACGGGTGGTTGGGCTTGGTGAATTGAAGGGATGTATAGAAAAAAGGTATATGGGATAGTTCTAATGACAAGGATGTCAAAGGAGGGAATGGCGACTAGATATATCCACAGGGCTTTGCCTCAAATGAGCAGCATCCACTCTGGACCGTCTTCTTTCCCCAAAAATGCCCCTCCCCACTTGCTGCCCCTCACCCCATTACTAATGCCTGAATGACACGGTAGGATGTCCGACACCGCCCAATAAATTCGCTAGACATAATATTCAATTGCGCATGAGCCTAGGTTACAGCCATTCAAGCAAAGGATGTGAAGTCGGCTATCAATAATATCCATCGTGGAGGTTATCAGAATTCGCCGGGTGGCGGTTCGTGTACCTTGAAAACGCCCCCCGAGAGTCTGCCGACCGGCAATTCTCGCCGACGTCGGGCGTCACGCTTTTTGGTTAAGCTTCGTCAGGCGGCTCGGATTTTAGCGAGTTTTAACCCCGGGATCTACCTCCACCGTCTGTTCAAGTGTGAAGAAGGGATCTGCACCTAGATGATTCAGGGGAATTAACTTGGGGCATTATAGCTTAGTCTTAGACGAAGTTCTGGGTACGATAGAGGTAAGAGTAAATGTAGATAGTCCATATACAATGGTATATTATGGTTTCATTATGTCGGTAGAACTAGGAAAGTCATAAATCACCTCCTCATTATCCTTCCATCACAGGGATATCATTCATTAACACGGGGGCACATCAGAGATAAATAGGGTCATAGACAAGGCCGTGGTATATACTATGGTCGTATTATGATCGTCACCCGAATGTCCGAGCCGCGACACCAGGCCGAAGAAAATCAAATGTTGTAAGGGGTATAATGCTGTCAAAAGCAGATGGTGTTGTTTTTGGGCGAGTATGTTCGTTTTGTTTTGCGCATCTGTCCGGTGTCGTCACCAAACTCGTCTCGAGTCAGATGGAGCCCGGCAGAACGGATGACATGAATAAAATCAGGCGGAGGCCGGGAACTGGAAAGGCGGCAGCGCAGGGCGCGACTCCCGCTTCACCGCCCAGGCCTTCAGGGCAATGGAGAGAATTTCGCACGACATGATGAAGGCGGTCAGTCCCATAGTAACTGTGAACACAAACATCGCGTCGAGGTCATAGTACTCCAGGGTTTGAATCACGCTCCGGGTCTATCCTAAGAGTTAGCCAACGTGTCCTGTGTAGGATTTGTGATTCCTTCTTTGCTGAACTTACACTAAGCATGAAGACCAAACCACCCGAGATCAAGCAGAAAGCAGCGACGATCTCGGTTGGCGGGCGAGATGGAAGGTAGGAGGTCGGGGGCTTGAGGTACATGATGACATAGGTCATACCACGAGCCAGTGCAAAGCCGACCAGGAGGTTACCCCACTGCTTGTGCACCATGGTCGATACCATACTATCCTGGTGGTGCGAACCCATCATCATACCCAACAGAAGGATGACCAACGCAGGCATGGGGTTCAGTGACACGCCCTGTGTGTCAGGAAGCTGCCATGCGGTATCTGTCGACGTGTGCGCACTCATATGAGAGGGATATTGGAGAACTGTGCTGTTCAACCAGCCTTTGACGCGCTTCGACTCGAAGAGCATACCACAGAGACCGCCGCCGAAGAACATGATGGAGATGGAGACATGCTCAAGGTCAGTGGCAGTCCATGCGCCACCCCAACTGGTGAGATGCTCCAAGAAAACGTTGGTGACGCCGTAGAGGAAGATCACGAACGATTCAGTGAATTCACCCGTGGGGATCTTGGCCTTCCATTTACCGACAATGGGACTGGACGGCTTCACGTTCCAGGCCCAGCCCAGGTCGGCCCAGCAGCCAAGCATACGTCCCAGAGTCAGAAGACCATACCAGAAAAAGATACCTCCTTTGATAAAGTGCGCAAGACCATTGAAGACCTCCTTGCCTCTCTGCAAACGCGCGTTAGCGAAGATCAACGAAGTGGCCCATACTAGAAACTTACCATAAGACCACCATAAGTCACACCACCGGTCGCGATAGCCACGAAGCCAAACGGCAAGATGATTCTGTCGATAACAGCATAGATGGTCGAGATAATGCGAAGCGCCCGAGTAGAGACCATACGAGGTACCCGACTGGCAAGGAATCGGTCGGCGAAGGGGATGCGGAACCAACCGCGCGGTTGGGACGAATGTTCGGGGAGCGGATCCTCGGGCTTTTCGAAACCGTCATACTCATCCGAAGGCGACGCACAAGAAGGCGACCCAGGGCGACTGTGGAGGGAAGAGGAGTTTCTCTCCGTGCCCTGTCCACTGTCGCGCGACCAGCGGTACGAATGGCGGATACCACCAGAGTACATCTGGGGACTCTCCATCTCATCGGTAGAAACGGGAAGGAACGCTGCCCGTTCATAAGAAGTCGACTCCGACTCGCCTCTGCCAGCATAGGCAAAGATCAATGACATGATGACCTGCGCGCTCATGACCCAGGTTGCGATCCAGCCAATCTTGTGATGAGCGTTGTTCTCATACAAATCGGGGGTCTGGCTGTTGTAGATGATTCCAATGAGCAATCCCACCGCATTGCATACCAAGAAAAGGAATTGCGACGGCAATGCGAAACGTGACCGTGCGACGCTGAACATGACCGCTGTAATTGCAAGTGTTAGTTTTCGGTGCTTTTGTGGAGGATAGGCTAGAATGAGCTATACCTGTTGGCAGAATGAAGCACCAGGCGAGAATCATCAGACCGATGTGAACGGCAATCGCGGTGCCGTGTTTCCCATAGGCGAAGTAGCTCATGGGGGAATCGTCATCTGCCTCTGTAGACGATTCATGGGTGGACTCGCTGTGACTCATGTCCATACCCATGTCCATATCCATCGCTTCATCATCTCCGTGGGGAAGCGCATTCGCAACGGAGGCTAGAAGGAAAGCTGCCGCAAATGCGGCACGGGAAGCTCGCTGCCACATGAGGGGAGGAGCTTCTATATTATTACGGACGGGAAATCCAAAAAAGAAAAGGGAAAGTATATCTCTTCGACGCGCGACAAACTGGAGTCAAGTGCGAGCAGGAGAGACGACTAAGAGATCAAGCCAACTCCCAGCTCCACTTGTCGCAAGCAAGATGGCAGAAGAAATTTGTACGGAGGAAGCTGGGATGCGGATGGGCGCGGCTACCACCTGGCGGAGGGCAGTACGTGGGAATACGTCGGGGGGACAGACAAGTCGGTAGGGCTGAAGTATGGAAGCAACGGACGATTGTGGAAGGGAAGGGAAGGCAGGAAGTATAAGTATAAGAATGGGCGAAGAATCCAAGGAAACCCAGCCGACCAACGGTGGACCATACAGGTAGGTAGAGAGACGAGACGGAAGGCTGAAGACCGGGATTGCCAGAGAGGGTCGCGCGAGACTTTTTATTTAATCATTACTCATGACTTAATTTTTTCCTTTTCCATTCGCGCCTTGTGGTCGCAGCTCTCCTTCCTTCGGAGCTGGCGGGGATAGGATGCAACAAGACCGAGAGGCCGTGGAAACAAGCGATCCTGCTGGAGCTCCCCAAAGCTCCGTGTGCCGAAAGTGGAGTTACTCACTGGCACCCTCGCGCTAGCAGGGAATTGGAAAAAGGGAAAAAGGAAAAAAAAAAAAAATGTAATAAGGCCTCCCAGGAGTGACGCTGTTCACCTCCCCAGTCTGGTTTTTGTTTTGACTGCTGCTTTGTTTGCTTGACCTCTGTCTCCTCTTTTGTTTTCTCTTTTTGCACAGAATAAGGGTAATGGTCATTACCAAGATACTCTCGGATTCCATGTTGAGGCTATGCCTATGATATAGCTCGATCCCTCAAAGCTTTCATCGTCATCATGAGGTGTCTTGCTGAGAACGCTGGTACCACCACTCATGCCTCCCGAAGTCATCCAGCGATGGAGCCGATCATTCTTTTTGGACTGATCACCGCCTCCAATGCCTGGAACTTTATTTCCTCTTCCATTCAAAAAATGTTATTTTTCTTTTCCATTCTATTATCCACTTACACTTTTCTCGGGATCTTTTCGCCTGTCAGCCAATCCCTCCCTTCCATCTTACTTCCTTTCCAACATCATCCCTACTACTCAATCCGTATACTTCTCTTACTACTTGTAGCAAAGCCTCCTGGGATCACGAGCTCTCAGCCTCTGACTCACGATGCATCTTGCTGGGGTATGAACCTTCTTCAGAATCAAAGCTTATTGTGTGGGAAATGGAACTACTTAATAATGGGAACAAGAGAAGTGCATGTTGTCTCTTTAAATCATATGAACCAATTTCCAACAGAGCCGAAGAGGGGCACGAAAAAAAAGAGCCTAGGGAAAGGGTATTTTCAAAGGAAAAAGAGGAAAGTAAAAAGAAATTTACTCCTCTTGGCAGAGTTGGGTTCTCGGAAGCCCGGAGCGACCGGGAGAGATACTCGACTTCCAGGTCACGGTGCGCTGACGCGCCATGAGAAATGACCTCATCCCAAGGTACCGGACTTTTAGCGTATGGCCTAGAGCGCACCAGTGGATGCTCCCTTCTTGTTCTCCATCCGCTTCGGGGATCCTGTTCGCCTGTTTTCGGGCCTTTTTCTATCTGCTTCTGCTTCATGGCCCCTCCGCGGATATATTACTAATGCCGCGGGACAGCACAACTTTCTCGTGATGCCAGAATCACAAAGAAGGGTCATCAAGCACAGGTTCGCACTATTGGTGAAAAGGGTCAGCAAGGCTGCAAGTCTATGGAACTACTATGCCGGTCCACCTTCATCTGCGTGTCTGGCAGTGGCCTGTACGCCCTTTGGCTCCGATCTCGTCTCCACGCCGTCCTCTGTAATCAGTACTAGTATGCCAGGACGCTCATGCCATGTATCTATCCATCCCTTTCTGTCCGTCTGACAGCCCCCTCGAAGGCGCAGCAGTCATTCGATCGCGGGGGATGTAAACAGAAGTCCAGAATGCAGGGATCCTGATACGCCCAATTTCTTAGGTCCCGCCTTCCCGCGACTTGTAAGATGGTGCGCAATAAGCCTACGAAGCGTTTAGTACGTGACACACTGAGAGATAGATCACTCCGTCTCGGCGGCTATTCGAGCTTGTGAAGAGTGAACTGCCAGGGGCTGTTGTTTAGGATAGATTGTGTCGAATCCGCAGTATTTAAGATGATTGGATTTCGCGACATCACCAGAGGACAGTCATGCATCCAGTTTCATCTCCCCTTACATTGGCGGTAGAAAGAGTTGGTGGGGACTGTTGAAAGGGGGGATGCCATAGTGTGTTATGTTGGTTCATAGTGCGGAGCGATCTATCACCAGCCCCGATTACCATGTACCAACTACATATGCAACGGACCGCGAACGAGCAAGCAGCACGGGCATACTCTGACATGATGCTGGCTTATTGCAAGCTGTGAATTGGAGGGGACTTGGGACGGAGAGCTGCTAAAGCAGGAAGTATCCTCCGCGACCAAAGGGCGAGCTGAAGTCAAGACCTACTGTACTAACTAACATAACCCCTCTTTCTGCAGAGGTCGATCGGTGCCATCTCCGGCAAGCTGTCTATCGCCCTACGGACTACTACTTTGGACAATCCCGCTCCAATTAGTGTTGGAACCAGCTACATGAGCACAGAGGAGCTGCAGTGGATGTAGGAGACAGTGCCGTGCCTAAAGATGGACGGATAGCTGTCCAGCCCTGTTGAACAGTGGCCCATCTGGAATGTACCCAACTGGCCCATGACTTTTATCTCCAGGTTCTGGTGGGCTGATCGTCGACTCAGGCGCATGCCAGTGTAGCGTGACGTTGCGATGCAGGCGGTTGCACTAAAGGTCGGTGCTACAAGCGAGGAGAGCGGTGCATGCCCTGGAGTCCATGGACAGGTACAGACCGCGGATGTGCTGGCGCCGACCGGCCTTTTAGTAGGGTTGGCGACGATCGCATCTATACAACACAAACAGGTTAGACTGACAAGCGACCATGAACTAACTGCCAGAGATATGTTCATTAGCACGATGATTGTACAACAGTGGTGTAACCAACACAGCCGCCACATATGAGCCTTAGAGTACTCAATACAATAGTACTCGATCTTAATCCTTATATCGAGCTACCTTGTGTATCTACGTTTGTTAAGTAGACAGACCACCAACAAGCGTCGATCTCTGCCGGCTTTAGTGGCATCCTTTAGTGGCATCCCTCTTCCCTCGGAAGCAAACCCCACCCGGCGGGCCTCGCACGTTGGGCTGTTTGCTAGTAATTGCTAGCCCTGTCCGTGCCCGTGTAATGATTCTGCCAGTATCTATCGCCCTTTTGCTCCCCTTCTGACAACCCAACGACGATCGCGGCTTGGCATCACCGGGCGAGAATCACAATCCGCATCCGCGCTCTTCCGTGCTGTATGAACTGCCCGGGCGGCATAAACACCGTCCATGCGCTTCTCGTCACCTTTTCTTACATCCACGCACCTCCCGTCTACAGACACATCTGTCCTTCCCGGAGATCTCTCGCATTAAACCATTCAATCATTGTCGAGCCTCTTTCTCTAGTTAAGTTTCTTAAGTATATTATCCACTTTTCTCTCTCTCTTTGACCGTTTTCAGGCCTGGCTGGCCCATTCCCACCGCACCCGTACTTATGCATCGTATGACCAGCACTGACTCATCGCTCATGACGCGACGCTCGTCGTGAGGAGGAAAGATCGGATACTTGTTGCGATCATGTCGTTGACGTCATGGTATGGTTTATCCAGACTGCTTGATAGAAGTAAAACCCACATCATGGTTACAATTGTCTATGAGGATGAGAATGAAGGTGGATGTTACTATTGTCTTATTGTGAATGCCACTGTCCTGGTGAGTCTATCTACCAACAGGATCAGACTACGCAGCAATCATTGCCATATTGGACTGCTGGACATCCGTGCTGTCAAGCCGACACACAAACTAAATGGGACCCGCCATAAAAATTAGGCCTGATAAGATCGACCCGATCCCATGACCTCGCGTTCGGCACATCCGGCTCAATCGGCTTACTTTACACTCTTCTTCAGGTTTCCCTGCCTTTGTCTGGCGGCATTTGCACGAAGGCTGCCGCGTTTCGATCTCCGTCATCGATGGGAGGCCTAGACTACAACTGTCATGTTGACATGTCGCCATTCAGGGTTTACCATTCTTACATATGGCGTTCAGCTTACAGGTCATCGCATGTGTAGGTCCTTAGGTAGTAAGTACTAGTGGTTGGACGGACCATTTCCGATGCATCGCCCAATCATTTTCTTGATCAGGCTCATAAACTCGGAGACTTTTCCTTCCATGTGGATTCCACCGCAACTTGGGTCGAAGTAGTTCGATTGGCGAAAATTTTCTGATATTGGGCAAGGGTACGCAAAACAGCCGGCGGATGCCGCCCGCAGAGCTCATTTTTTCTACGCGGAGACAAACCATGGCTCAGCACTTGACTATACTAGGCAGGCCATAATCTCCGTGCCGCTAATTCCGGCTTCACTCCGATGATGGTGCCGCTTTAACCGGTTGGCCTGGTTGGTGAGACGGCTCAGGTACTCCCTTTACAGTTTCTGATTTCTTTGTGATTCGCTCCTGGACTGTCACGCTAGCTGGTACGGTTCATTAAGCGACATCGAGGATAACTATAACAGCCTGCTCTTCTCTAGCAGGTTCGATGGCCATCAACTAGATGGTCCGATCTATTATCGTCGACTAATTTGGCAGGGCATAGGGTTCTAGCTTCCAGGCTGGCACTTAAGCACTTACTTCGGTTCAGAAACGCCCTCTTCTTATACCATTTCGTATGCTAGGGAACTACTACCCCAGATTCTTTGCTCGTCAAGGACCATATCGAACATCATTGGCTTTTGAATTATGACAATTTCCATAGCTACTTCAGCTTACATGGTCTGAAGTGTCATCTCGCTTAATGTCCATCTCACAAGGTATAGTACCTAATACTAAACTACACCTTAGCCAGAGTATTTTTATCGAGTCTTCTTCACCCAGTCATCTCGTTCAGTTTAACTTGCCGAAGAATGTGCAATTCGCAGTATACGTAAGGTCAAGTGATTGCCAACCACCCCTTACATCAAGATGTCAGTCATATACTGTGTTCTACCTAACCTACCGCAAGCATAGCTCTCAAAGTAGGAGTGTGACCATCAGTCACCGCAACATGCCGCAAAAACAGGGAGGGTGACTGCGGGGAGACACAAATCCACCCTACCAGTCTGAAACGAGACATGGATTATGTCCTGCAGTAGTCACAAGTTTACGATCCCCTATCACAAGACAGCCTTTCGCTACATTCTACATTGCTTGTCTGATTGACTAGCTCACGCGACATAAAGATCAAACACATTATGCCTACTAACAATAAGAGAACCCCCGAAAATCGGCGCCCGAATTGGCCATCCAGGCACAAGTACCTTACTACTTTGTACACAGATGATCATCACTGATCCAAGCGAGACGGACCAATCGCTTATACACACAGCACCAATAATATTTACTAGACAGATGCTAGATGCTTCTCCTGTACCGCGCCTGGTGCGATCATCACTCCTTAGCCCTATTAGGTCCAATCGAGCGGGTAATCCCGAACGCAAGTGACTACACAGTCGTCTATCACGTCGGAGCTCGGATGTTCGGGTTTTGAGGAGGCTAGCTTGTGCTTGCTTTTCTTTCTGTAGTGACCGCTTTGTTGATCGTTGGTCAATAGATAGATCCCCTGCTACGCTGTCTCTGGAATTATATCCCACTCCTTATAATTGAAGGGGCCTTCAGGGTGATCTAATATGATCTGTGGCCGTTGCTCATTTAAGCAAATGGTCAACTTTTCCCCTTAAGTAAAGCGCACAAGTGAAGTACTACGTACCCTGTAGCTACCATACAAAGCTTACATTGGATAGGATAACTTTTCCAAAAATCATTGAAAGGCCAACTGACAACCACATACCAACTAGTCTTATGGTTCCCCTCCAACAAACATCTCATGAGTTAATGCACAACTGATGCATGTGCTAGCTAGCTAGCTACTTCCCTAGCCAGCCTTACACCGATAGCTCTAAGCCTTATGAGAACCCCTATAATACTTAATTACTTTTTCTATCCCCTTTTCTTTGCCCAAGTTTCTTTTTCTTTTTTCTTTCCTCATCCTTTCTAATTTGTCTGTCTATATGCCTGCCTTTTATCCTTGGATGCATGTAACCATGCCTTGCCCCTGAGAGGGAGGAGGGAGTATTCTATGGAGTACTAAGATATGTACCTATCTGAACATGAGTGGGTAAGAGTATTACCTAACACGGATAGATGCAACAAATATACCAAATACTAAGCGACTATTGACTAACTATGCTTAGTACCAGATTACTTACGCACCTGTGCCCTTGTGATCTGTAGTCTGTAGTCTGCCTCTTAACAACCCATCTGGTGGCTGGGTAGTCCATGAAAAATCTCGATATAATAATTTACTTATACATGGCCTTCAAAATCTGGACTAGAGATAATTGTGCGTTGTTGAGCTAATTGAGCGTAGTTCAAGTTGTCTTGGTATACTTGCAGTGGAGGGTAAGTATAAGTAGAAGAAGGTGGGTGGGGGTGCTGTGCAGCGCAAGCTGTTGTGTATAATTCCAGACAGAAAGTCTGAGCAGTATATATCTGTGAGTAAGGTGGGGTGTATTAGAAATGTGCATTCCTGTGGAAAGATGTGTCTCGTTGTGGTTGGCCATTCTGCTTCGGGCTCTCAAGCACGCGATTGAGTATAGCGAGGTTAGTGATGGCGTGGTAAGTAGAATGGAATGCAGGCAGACATCTTAATTGAAATAATTATACATGAGCTGAAAGAATACCCACGCAGCAAGAAGTCAATAAAATGTTTACCATTATACGCAATAACCTGAAAAACAACTTCTCCATGAAATAGGTCTAAGACCATCGATATACATCCACCGGAACAACCTCCCCTCCGAACCCGACATCTGGAGTAGTAAAGTTGAAAATAGCCCCAAACCCATATCACATGACCAGCACCCAATCAATACCCATCCCAACAAGGCTTAGCGCCCCCATCAAGCGAGATGGTCCGAGCCCGCATCACGGAAACCGGAAAGACACACAAACGGAATTTCGACCCTAACCTTTTCGTTGAATCCCCGTCCCCCTTCAACGCCCAGCGACGACAAACCGCCTGCCAAACACCGTCTCATCCCCAGGTTTCTCTCGCCTCAGATTCAAGATGACTCACGAGTCCGTTTGGTACAGCCGGCCCCGCAAGTAAGTTGAAATCCGTGCCGATGAAATTTGGTATAGATGTGGTTGCTAATTGATCTGTGATGGATAGGTTCGGCAAGGGTTCCCGTTCTTGGTGCGTATTTTGCGATTTTTTTCCCGAAGAGATGATGTGTGGGATTGGGAGGGAGTTTCGGAGAGGAGAGAAGAAATGAATCGAATCGAGGACATATAACGAAAATATGAAAGGAAGTTTTGTGCTGATTCGTTGTGTTGGAATAATACAGCCGTGTCTGCTCCCACCGCGCCGGTCTGATCCGCAAGTACGGGGTATGGATATCCACTGAAATCTACGCGATGCGAAAATATTGGGGGTGCTGGAATAATGGCTAACTGGTTTTTTTGCGTACAGATGAACATCTGCCGTCAGTGCTTCCGTGAGAAGTCCTCTGACATCGGTTTCCACAAGGTTGGTTTCACCATAACCCACATGCATATTCCAGCACCAGTACCACAATCACATTATATCCGAAATGGCATTGGCATGACGAGGAGGATACCGAAAGAGAAAGAGATGGGACTTGCGACGACGACGACGAAGAAGAAGAAGAATGGATACCAGGAACGGATTGAAGGGGAAATGAAATGCCACTCGACATCGAAATAGCCAGAATCACACACACACAATCACGCCACACAACTCAAACCAAGTGATATAACTAACACCATCTCACCCAAACAGTACCGTTAAATCGAATCTTCTCCATCCCCCATCATCATCATCGATCCCAATTTTCCGTTACTCACGACGATGATTCGTTAAAAACGTGCTCGTGGCGCTTTCGATTCTCTCTTACACATACACCACCCAATCATCAAATAAACCAACGATCCCCCACGATTCCCA